CATTGCTCTTCAATAGTCTTGAAAGGTCCCTCACAGCTGACTTTCCCATTGCAATTCTTCTCTTGATTTCCTGGCTGCTGTTACCAAGAGTGTTGACTGTGGAGCCAAGCAAACTAAAACTGTTAACTATCTCAATCTCTTCACTATCCGTACTGATACTGACAATTGGCCCAGTGGTGAGAATCTTTGTTTTCTTGATGTTGAGCTTCAATCCATATAGGAGGCTGCAGTCCTTGACCTTCTGCAGTTAGCGCTTCAGCTCCTCCTCCGTTTCAGCAAGCAGGGTTGTATCATCTGCATAACTCGGGTTGTTGTTGACTCTTCCACCAATCCTGATGCCACATTCCTCCTCATACAGCCCACTGTCTCGGATGATCTGTTCTGCATACAGAGTGAAAGATATGGAGACAGAATGCATCCCTGACGGACTGCCTTTTTTTATTTTGAACCATGTAATGTCCCCTTGCTCTGTTCTGATGACTGCCTCTTGGTCCAAGTATAGGTTTTGTGTTAGCACAATCAATGTTCTGATATTTTCATTCTTCTCAGAGTCAGCCACAGCTTGTTGTGAATCAATGTTACATAACAAAACAATAACAACACAAACACCTCCATTTTTTTAGAAATAAAAGTTTTATTTAGATAATTACATTACTATAACATTGGAACTCCTATTTATTTTATAGCTTTAAATAGTTTTATCTATTTAACATTTATTGAATGTCACTATTTTTTCTCATTTATATATGTAGGATATACAGAAAATTTCAATATCTACTAAATCCTCGTCAAGTGTACAGTCTTGCTGCAAATGGACCAATGCCAGGGTAAGTCATGGTGTAATGTTATTCTTATTAACGTATTTAATATAATTCATGAAGTAAGTAGCCTTCTATACCTAAAAATAATGTAATTTGGATAACCAGATACATATTAAAAAAATAAAAAAGGTAAGTACTCACTTTAGCAGCACATATACTTAAATTGGAGCGATACCAAGAAGATTAGCATGGCACCTAGGCAAGGATGACATGTAAATTCATGAAGTATTCAATATTTTAAAAGGAGCTGATTGATGAACTAACGGTGAAGAGTGTGCTGCCACCCCAAAGACAGGCAGTTTGGGTCCACTGGCTGCTTCCCTGGGGGAAAAGAAAATAGAGTAACTCTTTTTGTAGGAATTATAACCTCTGAAAACTCACTGGAATGTTAGCTATGACATCAATCCAACTCAATAACAATGAATGTGAATAACAGCTACAAAAGGGAAACTTATGTCTTTGAGAGGATACAACCAGAGTGCTCTTTGGAGGCAAAGATGATGAGGTTTCACCTCATATTTTTAGGCTAGAAGAATGTTGCTAGAAGGAACTATTCCTTGATGAGGGAGATGATGATAAAAAGAATGGAGGGTCAGTGAAGGAGATAAAGAATCTCAATCAGGTTAATTGACACAGTGACTGCCATAATGTGCTCTGGTTTGTCAGGAAGTGTGAGGATGGTACAGGATAGGATGAGCTTCAGATCTGTTGTTCATAGGGTCCTAGGAGTTGTACTCAACTTTATGCTACCTAACAACAACAACAAAACAACAACAAGGGAAAC